CTCACGAGGTCCTCTGGGAAGGCACAAGGCTCTGAGGTCTCCGGCTGCAAGAGAAGAGGAAACTGTTTAGTGCAGCCGTCGTCGTCAAGGACTGTAAACCCCACCCTCCACGTCAATTCTCCCTCAGTAAGATGCCCCCTTGCACCTAGTGGGCTGGCAGAGAAACAGGTCTCAGGAAACGCTGTGGGAGTGAACGTGTGGGGAAGCAGGCATTTTCACGAGTAGTTTCCTGGTGGAAATACAAACTCTGCCAGCAGTGCCCACACGCAAGAAAGGGCTGGCCATCTGCTCCCACAAAGAAGCACGAGAACCCTTTGGAGCAGTTCCACTCTGACCTCCTGGGATTACCGTGAGCCAGAGTACACTCAACGGCAATGGGCGTGGGTGGGTCTTACCTAACATTTATGCAAAAATAGAAGCAACAAGAGAGCGACTCCCACATATTTACATCCTTTCCTCTTGTTACCTGGAAATATTTCGGAATAATTTTTTTAAATAGTTATGAGTTAATGTAGTTTTTCTTTGACAAGTCCCAGGCTTTTAAAATCTTTTTTTTTTTTTTGTTACATTCATAAAAGCTTTTGTTTATTTTTATATAAATGAGAGCCTGCTGTTTCATTTTCATAAACTGCTGTAAAAAATACTCTTTTTTTAAGTAGTCTTTCCAGGTCCGCAAATAGAAATCTACATAACTTTTTAAATGATTACATAACATCCTGTAGTATGGTTTTATTTATTTATTTATTTTATTCTTTACCCTTGACTCTGGGTCTGAAATTTCACTGTAGAAGATCAGGTCAAATGACCACTTTTGTGAATGACTAATATATCACGTCATTTTTTTCATGACAAATAACTAGAAGAAAAATAAATCAGAAAACACATGTATCTTAATTTTTAAATACATGCTTAAGTTACATCCCCTATTACTATGCTACGTTATACTCTTTTCTTTTTTTAATCATTTTATTGGGGGCCCTTAAAGCTCTTATCACAATCCATACATGCATCCATTGTGTCAAGCACATTTGTACATATGTTGCCATCATCATTCTCAAAATATTTTCTTTCTACTTGAGCCCTTGGTAGCAGCTCATTTCCCCCGCTCCCTTCCTTGAAAATTTATAATTTTTTTTCATGTCTTACACTGTCTCCCTTCACCCACTTTTCTTTGTCCCTCTGGGAGGAGGTTATATGCAGATCATTATAATTGGTCTCCCCTTTTTTTTTTTTTAAGAAAGTGAACAACTCCATTTGTTTTCTGGAAGACCATAAATAATTGTGGGATTCAACAAGGCCTTGAATTACCTAGAAAAATAAAATTATTCAAGAGATTTAGGACATTCGGAAGGCAGAATCAATTTTTGTTACCCTGATACTCATGTTATACCCATGGTTTTTAAGCCGAGGTCGTTTTGTTCTGCAGGGGACATGTGGCAACGTATGGAGACATGTCTGATCACCACAACCAGAGGAGTGGCATGCTGTGCGCGGAGGCCAAGGAACAGCAAAGACTTATCCTGTTGACCAGCAGTCCAGTGCTCATCCACTGCTCCCCCAGGGCTTCGTGTGTAGGCTTTCTGTACTCAGTCTCAATGATCCTTCCTCCCCACAGGTGTCCTCTGGCTTCAAGGGGCCACTGTGCTGGCACTGCGTTCAGTCGCTGCTTCCTTACCTGCGCATAATTCAGCATCTGGCCACTCGTGTGTTGAAATAGTAAAACCACAAGTGCGCACGGTGTTGGGGGATGTGAGGGAAAGTCTTGGTTCTCTTTTTTTTTTTCAGTGAC